TAAATCGTAGCTGTATCAGGCTGTGCTGGGGATTTCTGCTCTTGCAGGGATGTACTGTCTGAGAGCTTCAAGGGTGAAAGGTGAATCTAAGGACTGATTGCCTAGAAATATTACATTAACTTAGCAATAAAGTAGTAAGAGCTTCTAAAATATGCTGTTCTGGTTTTGAACCATAGCAGCTTAAGCAAATGGCTCATCGAAAGGCCAGTAGGAGCTTTTTATTTCCCCTGGGCACCAAAAGACTACAAAATACAATCTTGGCACACCGAGTTTTGATTAAGCAACTCTGTCCCCATGTATTTCTCAAAAGAAAGGCTGTGTCAAGTGTTGACTACTGTCACTCTTCTTACATGTGAGATTGTATTTCATTGCACTTTTCTATTGTGGGCAGAAGTTGGATTCTACTGTAGTCAAAATTAAAAGAGCATAGTAGTCCAAATTGAAAGAGAAGAGAGTTAGGTTTCTGAAATTTACTTCTGGTGTAATGCAGTTGAGCCTGTCACTTATGTTACAGCTGGTAGCACTGTGCTTGAAGTTCACATTCCAGGACTCACAGAAATCTCATGTTCATTAATGCAAAAAGGGGGAAATTGCCAGTTTTTGTGGTTGGAGAGAAAGAAGAATATTCAAAACGTGTTGTAATTTTTAGGGAAATGGCATGATTTGTGCAGGGGCATTTTGCCCTCCAGCAGTCCTGCCCCAGCCTGGCAGCAGAACTGAGCTGAGCCAGCAGAGCCCCAGCTGGGGAAAGTGGCTGGAGACCTGTTTGGAAAAGGTGGGTCCTACTGTTTGTGACTGAGCAACCTCCACAAAGGAAATATAACACTTTGGCAATGGTTCTGGTTTGACGTTTATTTTTCGGAAAGTCCAGCTGTGGTGTCTACACCAGTGCAGGAGGGCTCATCGTTCGCACAGACTTACCCTGCTGATGACAGCTGAATAAGCTTCTTTTTTTTGTGTTTTCATTCAGTAAGCTTGTTGGCTTTTGTGTAGAGCCTGACCTCTGCTTTTGCCCTCCTCTGCTGCCCCAGCTCCTCTGAAAGGGGCACCTCTGTCCCCATAATTTGTAGTAAAAGGGAATTGTAAAGGGAGGTGAACTGGCCGGCTGTAGGGACACGGGCTGCTACAATGCAATATAACTTTCACAGGGGCTGACCCTGTATGTCCAAAGTACCTAAAAATTGTTGGGAGTCAGTGGGAATTTTGGGTGCAGAAAGACTAATGCAGGACTGAGCCTTTACAACCGAGAAAATCCAAATGGTGAGGGAATAATTTGGTAAACGGGACTACTCGAAATAAATGAATTACGACACATGATGTGAGAACAGGTCAACATTTCATATCTGGCATACATTTTTCTAAACAGACAGAAAGGCATCCCAGTGTCGTGACTGTTTGCTATTAGATTCTACACAAAAATATATTGGGGTGGCATTTAAATGCAGTGACTCGAGATAGCAAAAAGATGTGGGATTGTATTTCTTTCCATTCATTTAATTGGAACCATACTGAAAAAGCGTATGAAAACCATCACTCTTCAATATGTCTGAAGTGTAGCTTTGTGACGCTGAGAATGATGTCCAACCTAATAGAATTTCAGATAGAGGAGATATTTTGGCTCATCTTTTGCTTCCAGCTATATTCAGTTTCCCCGTGTGGTTATTTTTCTTGTTATTGTATGCACCAGCTATCTGTTTCTTACTTCACTGTCTGGGAATACAAACCATTCTGTCTCATTTCTGACCTTAAAATGGATTGGACGAAAACAAAAGGAAGTTAAAAAAAAATGTTTTGGGTAGTACCCTTGTACTTGTTGTGTTGTGTAAGTCAGCTTTTTAAATGGAAGGCCTCAGTATTGCTGCCTGGGAATATTTTGCATCTATATATATTCTGTACTTTGTAACATCTGTGTGTTGGGTGGTGGTTCATCAGGAGAGGATGAATGTAACCATTTCAGATGCTTAACTGGCTGTTGGGACTTGCCCAGTTTGTAATCATGGTAATTGCACATACAAATATGGCCATGTAATTACATGTGCATTTTTGCATTTACTTTCAGGAGCTCATTTAGAGAAGTATAAATGCGGCCCAATAAATCCTTTATATTTCAGACTTCTTGCTCTTATAACTCTATATAATTATGTAGTAACACTGTATCTGGAGAGGTTTCACTTAAATAAAAGCAATAAAAAGCTCAGGTCAGTTTATAGATATAGTCAAATACTTGGGCAGTAAAGACTTTTGCCAAGGTACAAACTGGACACTAAAATGAAAGAATTGTGGGCAAAATTCGAGCTGAGAGCTAACCTAACTTTTTGTTATTACTATTGACATTCATGGATCAAGATACATTAGACAAAAATAGCTACTGTAATGAATTTCACTCCTGTGATCATATGCACATAAATAGATAGTAAGACTAATTTTTCAATGTTTTTTTTGTGTAAATATATATATGTATTATGTTTATATAATCAAAAGGAATAGATAATGGTGTTTGTCTTCTGTGTTGCTATTCCCAGAGTTGTTTTCACAAATGTTGACAATGTCTGATGGAGGCTGATACCTTTTTTGTATTCAGTGTTACTGTGAACCAACTGTTACTGCAATACTGTCATTTCCCAGTCTGGACTGCTTGCTAATTTCCCTTATGGCTTTTTTCCCAGTGGATAGTATTACTGTGCTAGAGACAAGAACTGAATTCTGCAGATGATACAGAAACAGATGCTAGATTTTGACACTCAGAAGTGAGGATTTTCAAATCTGCCAAGCTTCAGCCCTTCTCCTTAGTGTACCCACACACAGGAGGGGTGGGAAGAAGCTGGTGAGGACTGCAGAATCCAACCTTCCCTGAGAAAATAATATATATTATAGTAAATATTTTCATTTAAATCAACTTTTGGTTTGCTTAAACAGTTGTGCTGATGTGATCCTCTAAGATGTAACTCCTGGCAATAAACTGCACAGAAGTGGTGTCACACAAACCCAAGTGTGGTCTGAATGGCTCTAGATGGAGAAATTATTGCTGTTAGTGTCTTTGTCATGGTTGTGGCAGTAAAGACAAAGGTCTGTTTTCCTACTTCAAATGTGCATGTTGGCATCTATCACAAATCCTCTTTTTGGCTTGTTTTAAAATAAAATCTTTTAGCTTTTTTTTTGTTTAGGTTAATGTCCGTGTTTAAGCAGCTGTTTTGAAATACAGTGCCATTTTTACACCAAAAAGAAAAATTGTTTACTCTTTTTACATTTTTTGGCACCCCTTTTTCCTTTAAATGTAGACAGCTACAGTCAAAACTAGCAGCATGGCTCATAACAAATCCCATATTTGCTGACTTTAGCTTGGTCTTTGCTTTTCTGCCTGGGGAGGTCACAAGCTCTAAGAATGTGCTGGATGCTGGAATCTGCTCGCAGGGGCTGTGTGCAGCCTCAGCCGCTCCCTCTGGCCATGGCACTCTGTTTTCCTCATGATTTGGGATCTGTCCCTGTCCTGGCTGCCTGAGCCTGGCTTCCTCTGCAGGGCCATATCTGAGTGCTCTCAGCACTTAGGAACCCCCTGACATATTCCCTGAGCTTTTTACAACTAAAAGAAGTTTGAAAAATCAAATTTCTCAAGGCAAGGCAGGAGAGGAGTAGCAACAGGGAATTTTTTTTTAATGCTGCATTTTCACATCAAACCTTTTACTGTATGTTTTATTTGACTGGGGGCAGAGATTACATTTAATTTTATTTCATGTGCATGCTGTTCTGGCTGGGAAGTTGTGATCAGATCCTTATCTGGCTCATTTAATATCTTCTCTGCCAAGGCTTGGCAGGGAGTTCATAAAAGCCTGTCCCCCAGCCTGTCAGACATTGTCCCACTCCATATAAAGCAAGACAGTCTCTCCTCCACAGTCTTTAAATATTCTTCTAGTGCAATTATTTGTGCAAGTGGAAATCATTCAAAAATCCTTGGAAAGCAGATAAAAGAAGAAGCTGGAGTATGGCTGAAATTGGCATTTAAATGCTTTTAAATTGTAGAAGCTACTGGCAGATAGTATTTTGGACTATTTGCCCTGCTTTAATTATACTGTACACAGAAATTCATCAGGTATAGTGAGAGGCAGTTTCTGGCTGGAAAAAGATAAATGTTGTCTTTTCAAATGCTTTTCAAGGTGCCGTGTCATTGAAATGCACATTGCCACTCAAGGCACAAACAGTAATCCTATGGAAAATGCAATTCAAACTATTTTACAATATTTTTTTAAAAAAAAATCAGTATTATGTATTCAGGTATTGCATAGGTTAAACTACCTTTCCTCAGATAGTTTTCTGTTTCTGCATTCATAGATATATTAAATTATTACTGTTGCTTTTTGTTATATATTTGCCATGGTTTGACCCTATCTGGATGCAACCATGAGAGCCATTCTCTCACTCCCCTCCTCAGCTGGACAGGGGAGAGAAAATATTTTAAAAGGCTCGTGGATTGAGTTAAGGAGAGGGAGAAATCATTCAGCAATTAATGTCGTGGGTGAAATACTCAACTCGGGGAAAACTTATTTTAGCTTATCAAATCATAGTAGGGTAATAAAAGATAAAACCAAATCTTAAAAACATGTTCTACCCACTCCTCCCTTCTTCCTGGCCTCTAATTCCCTCCCGATTTCCCTGCCTCCTTTCCTGAGCAGTGCAGGGGAGTGGGAATGAGGGTTGTCGTCAGTTAACCACATGCTGTTTCTGTGGCTCTTTGCTCCTCAGGAGAGCACTCCTGAGAGTCTTTTCCTGCTCCAGGGTGGTATCCCTCCCATGGGGGACAATCCTCCATGAACACCTTTAGTGCTGAGACCTTCCCATGGATTGCAAGTCTTCATAAACTGGTCCAGATTGGGTTGGATGTAGTCCTTCAGCTTGTGTTCCCTGCAGGGTGACAAATCCTGCCAGAAGCACTGCTCACAGCCCCCTCTGGGAATCCACCTGCTGAGGTGCACTGCACTGATGTTGCCTGGTTCTGTTGTTTTCAGCTCTATGGCTATTGCTACCAAGACAGCAATGACATCCCCGACACACTGACCACCATCACTGAACTGGGCTCGCCTTTGGAGATGATTCAGCTTTTACAGACTTCCTGGGAAGACAGATTTCGGGTGAGTAACAGCAGTTTCATAAGGATCTTTAGGACAGCAAGAAATAAATAAAATTATGGATCAGAGGTTCAGCACAATCCAGATTTATTAAATGTTTGTTTTGCATATGATTACATCTTGGTTTAGAAGCACTATTTAGCACTCTCCTTCTGCAGTGTTTAAGACACTGTGTTATTTTGTCTGTCAATGGTATCTAATTGTAACCAGTAATATGGTTTTTATGTGATATCTTGAAACATTTCTTACTTGAGGCCCAGGAGTTTTGGCATTGTGCTCTACAACTGGGATTTAAACAATAGAAGGATGTTACATTTCTCTCCTGATCCTTATCATAGGTTTGTTTTATAATTGTTTTCTACTGCTTCCTGCTCTGTTCATTTTTTCCTGGGAAAAGAGTGAAATAAACGTACACAAATCTCAAACCCAGTTTGTCCACCGCACTGGCAATTTACCAGGAGCACAAAGGTCACACTTAATTTGTCCAAAATGAAGCCAGACTGCAGCAATGCTTTGATCAAGACAGCTGTCTCACTCAGTGTGTATGGGGATGTGTCGCTGTCTGAGGTTAACTCCCTAGGACGTTGAAAGGCAGCAGCAGTCTCCATCTGAAACAATTTGGATTGCTTGGCTACATCTGTGCCAGAAAATTAAAAGTACGCCTGAGTGAACTCTGGGTGGAAAGAGCAAGGTGCAGCCCACGGCTGTGCTGTTGCATTCCTGCTCTCTCTGAAGGCTGGGAGCAGGATTGGAACCTGTTGGAAATGGTCCCTGGGCCACGCTGCCTGCTGGATCCTGCCTGGCGACAGTGCTGGAGAACAGCCTCAGTGCTGGTCAGACCTGGCCAGAGACCATGCTAGCCAGTGTGCATGTGGGATTAAGTTTCTGTGCCCAGGAATGTTCCCTGGCAGAGTTCATTTTACTCATACAGCTGCAGCAAGCGTGTTGCCTGCACTAAGCTTCAGCTCCTTTTCCTGAAAGAAGAGTGGTCTTGATAAGCAGCAGAGGTACTCAGCAGGGTTCCCAAAACACAGGACCACCTGCCTTTAGCTCATCTCATCCAGGGAAAGCAAATAATGGACTGTGAAAGCAATTATGTACAAAATAAATGACCAAGAGGCATGTGAGATTATGGGTAATAAACAGAGAAGTTTCTTTCCAGTGTGGATATTTCTGAGTGAGCAGTTGCAAAGAAAGATAAAGGAGTGTTAGATGAAGATGAAGATCTTCACAGAGGTAGAATTACAGGTGAAACATTCCTGTGACTACTGTAATGAAGTCCTAAATAATATCATGCTCATTCCTTGTCTAGGATGCAGCTAACACAGAAAGAAGGAAATAGAATTGTCTTCTTGATATGTGAGACTTGTTTGTGGTCCAGTCCTGAAAATGACTGCATAAATCCATGAGGTTATTCCTACAGTTGATAATTTCCTTGTGTGGACAGACTCAGCAGTAAGCTGAGTAAGCCAGAAGTGTGTGACACAGAGCAAAGCCTTCACCTCTGTGCTTAAAGCTTGTTGTAAGGGGGCATTTGCAGTTCCAGCCTGCAGCAGGTCTACACGGCAGAGCCTGTTGGGGTTGAGCGCAGATGTTGCTGGTGCAGGAGCAGGGGTTTTTTGGCATTTGAGATAAGGCAATAATTTTGGATGACAACCTGTGGGTTTGTTCAAGCTAAATTCTGGGTTTGCTGGCATTTGAAGACAGTTATATTATAGGTTAGGTTGGGCTGGATGGGCCTTTTGTCTACAGTGTATTGCAGGATAACACAGACATGAGTTCTGTGTCCTTCCAAGGGGAGGTAAGGGTGGTCGAGTTTAGCATCCCATAGCCACACGTGTATGCACCTAGAAACATCTCCATATGAACTATGTTATCCTGCAAGTAAGAGAAAATGATCTTGTCTGGTCAACCAGGAGAAGGATTAGGTAGAAGAATGAGATGGTTCTAATGTCCCACAAATGAAGGGTTGTGAGGGATAACTTCAGCTATGCTCAGCTTTCTTATCGAGGATGTGTTGAGGTGCACCTTTGAGTGTATTGTTTAAGCCCCTAGACTGAATTTGGATTTGACTACTTCAATGCACATGCCCTTAACATTGTATTGTAATAGAAAACAAAGATTATATATAAACAGTAAAAAGCCTGCTAAACTGAATATAACCTGTTATTTATTTAATCCATAAAATAAAAATTCCTGTATTTAACTGTGTTCATGTTACTGCTACCTTTGGATTAATAGGTTACATAGTGGACTCTAAAGGAATGCATGAATTGAAAACAGGACTTTGGTAAGGGGGCTGAATTCAATGTTCATCAGAGCTGCTGCCTAGTAAGAGTTACTCAAGTTTCTAATCTGCAGTGGAAAAGTGAAACAGCAGCACAGAGCTCCCACCTCAGCCTCAAAGTGGTGCATGAGAGTCCACCATGGCAGACTCGTCAAGGCAGACAGACGTACACTTACCCTGAGGCATGGTACAGGGTTACACTGGACCTGTGGAGCTCCTCTTTCTGGGAATTTGCTTCCTTCTCCCCTGGAATAAGGAAAAAAAATCAGAGGGAACAATGAAAAAAAATTATAAAAACAGTAAAGAGGCAGGATCGGTACAGAGGCAATACAGACACTGTCTGCAGTTGGAGCTCCAGGCACGGGTGCAGGGCAATCCAGCCAAAATTTCCAGACCTGGAGTTTGTAAAAGAGCTGGATCAGACTGTGTGGTCAATGCCTGTGCATAAACTGTTATTAAAAGTTAATGCTTTTATTTCTGTTAAAAGTAAGAATAGCAACAATGAACCCTGCTTCAAGAATAGTGTGGGAAAGCACTTGTAAAGAAGCTTATTTGTGTTTCAAGTCTCTCAGGGTTTTACAATCAGCTATGCTAATCCTGTGAAAAATACCTTGGTTGCAACATTTAGTTTTGAGGGTAAGTTATAATGCTTATATTAAGTCATAAATTTATGAGCATATCCTCAGCTAAAGTGGTTTTGTTGTATGCTTTGCACTGAGAGAACAATGTGAGGTACCCATGTTTTTGTGTTTCAGATCTGTCTCAGCCTAGTTCGGCTTCTGCATTACTTGGCTCACTCTCCTCTTGGCTCGGTGACATTACTGGATTTTCGCCCTCGGCAGTTTGTGATTGTGGATGGGGAGCTGAAGGTGACAGATCTGGATGATGCCAGTGTTGAGGAGAGTTCTTGCACCAGTAACAGCGACTGCTTCATGGAATTCCCTGCGAGAAACTTCACCCTGCCCTGCTCGGTTGAGGGACGGTGTCAGAGCATGAATGAAAAGAGGAATCTCTATAATGCCTACAGGTCTGTGATCAGATAAAGCCATGTAGAATTAAGAGTGGGCCTAGAGCTCCAGCATCCTTTATAGTTATTCACATCAATTAGCACATACTGTCTCAGATCCAATGCCCAGGGGTAAGTGAAGCCATGAATAATTGTTTCATTTGTGAAAATACATGGCACTTATAACATTTGAAATATTTTACATACTCTGAGTGTGATTCACCACTCAGTCTAATTCTGTGTTGGTTGAATCCCGCTGAATTCTTCACTCAAGTAGAGATTTTCATAGGAGTGAAACATAAACACTTTTGGAGCTTGAAGCCCACAAGTTCTGTGGTGAGACAATTCCAGCAGCTCTTTGGTGTGAGTTAAGAGGGGTCATCACAAGTTTTGCACCACCAGCTGAGCAAAGGGCAGGCTTCAGAGGGAGACTTAGAGCTAAGTTCACATCCTGCCCTCTGGCTCAGTGCTCCTTGCCTTGCTGGAACATGCTGTGGAAGGGTGATAACAGCCCCAGTGCATCTCTGGATCTGCTGGGACCACCCTCAGCTGCTGACATTCCGGGGTCTAAGCCCAAACGTCTTAAAGCAAGGGTGGTCTTTTCACCCTTCCCTCCCAGCCCCGGGTCTGTGTGAGCAGGTGCTGTGGGACTGACTCCCAGTGCTATGCCTACAGTGGGGAACATGTGGGCCATGCCGGACCAGTTGGCCACTCTGAAGGAAGCGTTCAGCTATTGCAAATCTTCCAAATTTGATTCTAAAGCAGTGTCCAGATTTACAGCTGGGTCCTTCTGGGCAGTGGCTTTGTGCTTGTGGTCTTGGCTCTCCCCCATCAACCATCACACCCCCGGCGGGCTGTGTCACTGCTTTCCAGGGAGCCAGCAGTGATGCTCAGTGCCATGCTCCCCCTGCCATTGCTGCTCCGTCTGACGGGTGCTGCTGGGACGGGCGGCCGCTCTGGCTGATCCAGATAGGAGGATGGAGATCTCAGAGCAGTGCCATAATGGTGTGCTCATTCTTTAGGCTTCCCTTTCAAGTGCCATGCCATTCACTGCCTTCCAGACCACAGTGAGGAGAGGCTGCTCCAAAGAGAGCCTTCTGCTTTGGTCGCAGGGTGCTCACCAGCATGTGTGTCGCATTAGCTGACCACACTGAAATGGGCTGCACCACATGACAGCCATCTGCAGTTGTGCAGCACAGTATTTAGTGTGTCCTCCAACATTTTCCATTTCCATTTGCTTGGCTTAAAGATCTTGCTTAGCTTGCTAGCTTTTGGTTAAGACTGTTTTACTGTTTCTGGGTAAGAAGCCTTTAATAAGCGCCCATCCATCTCAGTTGTAAGTGGGGACATGTCTGTGGTGTGGTGGGCTTGTGGCAGGTTGCTGCTCACGCTGAAGGAAGTGGTTTTTTTCTAATACAGTTTTTTGTATTGCCTTTGAACTGCTCTTCAGTGTGTATTTCATGCACAGTGCCCCAGTGTTCTCAGCCCCTGCTTTGCCTTAATTCCATAGAGACATGGAATGGTGGATTCATGGTGTGGGAGGCTGTGACCACCCATGTTAAGGAGTTACATCAAGCCCTAGGCACTTGTCTCAGAAGGTGAAATCCTCACTTCACTAGGGATAGGCTGCTAAATTTGTTATTTTCATAGGTGCACTCTTGCTGTAGGCTTAGAGGTTGCCCTCTGAAGCTGTTAGATAGAAGTCAAAAGCAGCAATATGTCAAACAATGCATAAACCCCTTGTAATTTTAAAACATAGCACACCCTAACCTTGAGAGCATATTTGAGCCTATCTTGCTGGTTTTTTTATGAGGTAAATAATTAAAGGAGAGAAAACATTTAGGAGAAACCTCTACAAGAACTGACGTATTTTGACTTTCAGATGGTTACCTCCTGTCACAAATGTCTCACTGTGTTTTCCTCCAAGTGTTAGGGGGAACAGTTTGTAAAGCACTGGGCGGTTTTGAAAGTAAACATAATTAATATTTTGAACTATTAACCAATGGCTGAGATGAATTCTCCATCACTGAGAATTCTTAAATTAGGATCAGATAGTTCTCAAAAAGAAACAATTTGTAGGAATGAATGTAAAAGGATCTGACAGTCTGTGTTATGCAGATCACAGAGGATACCACTCGCCCTGGAATCGATGAATAACAAATGTTCTTGCAATTAAGTTGTGCAGACTCCAGTGTCTATGCATGTCAGGATTTCACATGTGGGTGTTTGCAGTAGAACAGTTGCATGTTTCTGTGGCCCTGTAGCTACGGAAAAACAATAACCTCCGTGACTTGCTTCCAGCCAGCATTGAGCAAACTTAGTGACAGCTACTGAATTTTTGCAAAGAACTATTCACAATCAGTTGGACTCTGCTTTAGGGATAATCTCTGAGCAAAAACAATGAGCTAAAGTTTACCAGACAAATTATTTGTTACAAATGTTGTGCTGCTCTTCAGATTTTTCTATGTATTTACATTGGCTGTTTCGTACTCATCGTAAGGAAAACCTACCTGTGGATTATCTCACTTGGGAAAACCATAAACATTATTTTTGTTTGGGATGGAAAAGGGAGTTATATTCTCAGAGCAATATTCATTGTATAAATAGTGTCAGCTTAATAATATCTGCCTCTGTGATCAATTTTGGTATCAGTAAGTGAATTTTCTAATTTGTGTTTATGTAAAGCATCTGTTGGTCTCCCTCCTGAGTCCCTAGGGGTTTCCATTTGACAATGTGGTCTCTGTATAGGAAAAATTGTTTACTTTGCTTTGCAAGGTAGATGTGAAGTAGTGCCATTTCCCAATTGTGTTCCTGTTCTTTTCATTAGCTAATTTTTATGTCCAGTAGTTCTGTTTGTATTGTCAGATCCTGACCTGTCCATCTCCATCTTAGGTTTCTGTGACACTGAGTTAGTTGTAATAGGTAGTAGTATTGGCAGAGTAGTAGAACTCTAAAGGAGGAATTAAATGTACTTCAAGGGATGGTAATGGCACATTGTTTTTTCTTTTGTAGTAAAAAACATTTAAATGGAGTTGTGGAATCTCCTCTGTAGATATTAATAAGCCATGAGGACACAATCCTAAGTAACTTGCTCTCGGGAGCAGTGCTTGAGCAGGGAGGCTGGACTAGCTGACCTCCAGTGGTGCTTTCCAACCTCTCCCATTCTGTGATTCTACCTCCATCAGTGAATACCTAAATGGATGCATCTTGATTATAGATAAATGGTAGGAACAGAGAGGGCATTCTGTATTTTAGCAGCATTAAAACAATAGAAGATGACTTTCTTCTGGCAATTAATTTGAAAGTCTAAGAAAACTGTAGTAAAGAAAGTAGTAATTTCACTTATTAGAAATGAACAGAAATCCAATTTATGCACTTTCAAGGTTTGAAAAAAAACCAAGCCCAAGATTTAGGGGATTGATGGCATCCTTTTTGTTTGTTGAAGTACAGGCAGCTTTGCAAATAGTCACAATCCATGGGGCTTCACAGCACATTGCTGTATTAATGGAACATTTACATGTAGGTACAAGGCAGCCTTGTATGTAGCAGCGTGGTCTAGGTATGCCAGACAGCTGTGTGTGAATAGTCTCAGCTATGTATTTATTTGAGTATAGAATACCATTATATTTCCTGAATAGGTCAGTGGCAAATAAGCAATAGGAATTTTATTCCTTATGATGTTCAGGAGATACGAGATATTTGTAAACTTTTGTTAAAAAAAAAAAAAGTCAATATTGGTTACTTTTCTCTTGCAGGTTTTTTTTTACCTATCTTCTTCCACACAGTGCTCCATCCTCTCTGAGACCATTGCTGGATAAGATAGTCAATGCAACAGGTAATCACAATAAACATGGTAATGCCAAGTAGTTGCTTTTTTAGTGTAACTATTATGCTTGGGAGGGGAGGGTGCTGCTTTTGTGCTCACTGCAGTAGAACTAGATTGCTTTTCTATCCAGGATAAAATTGCTCCCATACCAAGAAGGCAAGAATGAGCCCATACATCACAGAAATCCCATTTTTAGACTTTATCTAGGCTTCACTGAGATATTTGTTTCATCCTGACACCTCAGGGTGAATTGCATCAGAATGCAGTTCCTTGTGGGGTCTGGAAAACAGTTCTGTCCCTGGAAAGGGAAATTTTAATGATAAAACCCAGGTTACTTTCTCATTGTCAATGATACCAGTGGTGTTTTATACCTCAGAAGCCAGAGGCACAAATGATATTTCCATAGATCTTTACTGATTTCCGAGGTAGTGGCTTTGAGACAAGAGTAGTTGCCTGTAACACTGATTTGAGGGTTTTTCAGTGCCTTGGTCCAGTGTGCATCCAAAGGGAAAATAAATGATGCTGGACTATAGCTATTGAGCAAGGATAGCTTTGGAGTTCCCTGTATTGGCTGGTGTTGATCTCTTGTGGGGAGTCCTCTTCAGTGTTTTGTGCCTGCAGGCCTGGGGCTACCAGCTGGATGAGTCAGCCTCTGGAATGCCTGGGCCATGTCAGGTATGAAACCTGACTTGTAGGAACTGAGGGATTTCCTGGCCACATCAGCACCCTGCCATGGAGCAGGGCACCACAGGGCTCCCATGCTTAGGGCTTCATTCAAATAAAACCTTGTTTTGTCCTGTGCAGGATGCTCCTCATCTAAGTCATTCTTTTCCTCTGCTTTTAAAGGAGAACTTCACTGGGGAATAGATGAGACAGCTGCTCAGCTGGAGAGAGTTTTGTATCTCTATAAGAGTGGGGAGTACCTGCAGAACACAACCCGGGTGCCGAAAGCTGGTAAAGTCATCTTCCTTGAAACTTAAAATTTGAGATTTTGTCATTGTTGTGGGGTTTGCAAAGGCTAATGTGCAGAAAGCAAAGCTCAGTGGTCCTTGAAATCATGCATGTGATAATATTTTTATCTGCTTTTTGCTTCCTGGGAGCCTCCTGTAACTCTTCTCACTATGTGATGTAGCTGGACATCCATAAGTGTGAGCAGGCTGTAATGGGAATAAAGAAATCCAAAGGGAGTTCTCCATGACAGATTTATGGAAAATGTGTTTAATCACATCCACACACTACTGTTGTAGTATCAGAACCTGCCTGAACATGTATTGGGGAGAATCCAATCATGAGGCCATAACCCGCCATGAAAGGTTTCCTGGGTCTTAAAAGGAATTTCTTGTAACATAAGCGTTTGTAGATTGGAAGAATAAAATTTTTACTTCCTTTGCAAGGAAGTGTGTCCCTCATCTTCTGCTAGCTATAGAATGAAAAAAATAGAAAAAAAAGAACAGGATGAAAACAAGGCTGAATAACATTATCTTTTTCATAATATGTCTGTATGCTATTCAAACTGTGGTACGAAGTGGTGCATATTCTTCCTAGAAGGATAGCTGTGGAATTGTACATGTCAAAGAGTATTATGTGTGCTGGAAATGACTGGTAAGCCCAACAATTGTAAAAGCTGTTTTGCAAATTATTTTTGTGTATGTACAATGTTCATGTCAAACTGTCAACATAATTGACTGCAAGTTGATAGGAAAATTATGGCTTTGCTGCAAAAACTCAGTAAAGAGGGAAAGATGGGTTCTAAATGAAGATGAATGTTGGCAAAGGGGATTTGAAAAGTTCAGTGAAGCATTTGCTCAGTGAAAGAGAGGAGCCAAATTCATTCTGGTTGTGACTCTGCTAACCTCAAAGGGCCATGATACCAGGGATGAATTTGACTCACTTATCAGAATAATTCAATATTTATTTTGTTGTAAAATTGGCAGGAAAATTGTTGCAGGTGTTCATTTAACTTTCTAATTTTCAGCTTTTCATCACGTCTGTGCTGAGTGATACCTGTCAACACAGCAAAATTATTTTCAGCAGTACAATCAATAGTACAAACATGTCCTTTGTTGAAGAAGTGCCAGGAGAGCTGAAGTGGTTCTATGATGCTGGTTGATTCCAGGTCTCACTTCTGTATCAGGATGAGGTGAAGTTTTTGGATGTTAAGAGATCTGTCATGTTTATAAAGACTCACAAGGAGAGAAGCTTTGGACAGCAGTAGTCAGTGTATCAGTGTAGGTTTCCACAGATACGAAGCAGAGCTCTGTGTCTATTTAGCTACTGTAATAATTACACATTTTTGTCTTTCTTTAATTCTGTAGAGTCCTGGATAATGTAAGGCAGAATCTGCTGCCCCCATTTCATGGTTGGGAATGCCCTGCTCTGCAAGGAGCCTGTTTTATTTGCAGGGCACTGCTAATGGACTTAGGCACTTCACAGTGTGACCAAAGATGTTGAAAATCTGTAGATGCTTTGTGTAACTTATTGGATAATGTACATTAAATACCGTGAGTGTAATATTGAATTCCTTGATAGGAAAATGTTCTCAACGAGTGACAAGCCTGAGGAATTTGGTATCTTGCTAGAAATTACACCTAGATTAGATGTGTTCTCAGACTTAGCTGCCATGCCTTTAAGATGTGCAGGCCTGTTTCTAGTTTGTTCTGAGGCCACTTTAACCACACAGAGAAGGTGTTGTAATCTATTTCTATTTTAAGACTCCTTTTCCTTGCCAGACTAAGATGAAGAAGTCATATCATGAGGGCTAAAATATGCCTATATACCCACTTTTATGATTTTAATTCCAACTATAATCTTTCCTCAACTGATATTTGACTGGTATCTGATACTAATACTGTGCTGCAAATAATTTTTAAAATTTTCAATCTAGAGATTATGGAATTAGAAATTATTAATTAGAATTTATTCGGAGATAATAGAATGAAGAATTCTCTTGTGGTACATTGGGGTTGCAGGAGAGGGTGACAGGTGCCTTGGAAGGGAGTGGTGTCCAGGGAATCAGCCTCTTCTACTGGCAGGATGTTCCCAACTGGGATTGCATCCTCACCACTGAAACTAAGGCTGAGCAGCTGGAATATTGTGTATAGATCTTGGTAGAGGGGTAGACAGGGATGAAAAGGAACAACTGGGATATTTTCCCAAGCTGTAGGTTGAGGTCTTCTTTGGCCCTGTTTGGACAAAAAATATTTTTAAGATTGCATGATTTTGTAAAATGTTTTCTGTGTTGCTCTGCAGCATAGACAAAGTTCAAGAAGGGTGTTTTTCAGCCCAGTGCCAAGTTAAGATAAAATTTAAGGTGATCATTTGCTTCTCAGGCCAGACTGGAGTTAATCAGCTTTACATTCATATCCCAATGGGTGCCAAGATGGGGGAGGCACAAGTTTGCATCCATTTTGCTCCAGATGATAGAGCTCTCACAACGTGACTCACTCCCAGGACCTTTGCTCTCACAAATAATAGAAATGACAGGAATTTGTGATGCCAGTCTCCTGGCATCTAAAGGTTTAGTGATGAAATAAGGCCTTTCTGGTGCACAACCTATTTTGAAATCCTAAAAGAACAGGAAGATAATTCAGATCCAAGAATTCTAAGGTTTTGGTTTGGTTTGGTTTTGAAAGGAAACTACAGAAGGTTCAGGTAATGGAGCTTCAGAATTTGTCTGAGGTCTTAAATGCCTGGAATTAGGCATTATCTCAGATAGACCATTGTAAATTCATAGTAGGAAAGATCATGATCTTGGGCATGTCATGTCAGGCCATAACTAAAACATTAACGTTGAGGAAACAGTTATCTATGTGAACTTATGTTTTTGAAAGGAAGACCTCCTCCTATGAACACCACAAAGTGAGAAAGGTGATATTGATAAGCAGTAGGGAAGTGGCACAAAGAAAGTTCTTGTCAGCCCTAGTGTTCCCATAAATAAAGTTTAACAAGATGACATAGTCATATTACAGAAGGTCTTGGATATTAAGCTTTCACTGTGCTTCAGTTGTAAAGATTTTATAGTGCTGTAAATTATATTATGCTCTGGACTTTGGTTTAGTATCCTAGAGTAGAGGCGTGGGAGACATTTGATAGCTGTGTATGTGTTCTGCAATCATAAATCACACTGCTGTTCATGTTGATATGGGAACATTGCAGCGTTTAAAACAACACCAGGAACAAATGCTTTTATATTCTATTGGCTGTTGGCCTCTCCTGCTGGAATCCAGAAGAATGTGAATTAAAACAGGATCCATGTATTTCTTCTGACATATGTTATCTAAAAATGATTAAATCATTCCATTAATTATCCAGATTAAGGAGACTATAAAAAAACTACTGATGTTCATCAGTAAAGTCATGCCCCAGTATCAAGGTTTTTATTACTTCAATCAAGTGACAGTGATTTGTACTGAGTATCCGGGCCCTTGAGCTAAGCCCCAGCCCTTCAGTTAACTCAGAATTTACTCAGAAATGCGTGAAATCAGCTAACACTCGTAAATCGGATAGCTTTGTTATTCATTAAAGCTAATAAATGACCCATTATTAGGTCTGGGGGTGTTCAAGCCCACAGAAAGCTGTAATTAGCTGCTGTTGTTAGCTGAAAGCACATTCTCAAAGCTAAAAACGCTGGAAGGCTGGACATAAAGCAAAGACACGTTGTGTTTTCCTTTGTCTCAAGACAATTTGGCAGGATTATGCTGTACGTAAATATTTACAGTACAACAGTGTTTTGAAAAAAATATTCTGCAGGATCACTATAGCAACCTGCTTAGGAATCTGCAAATCTACCCAAGAATTATTGAAATCAGGCACAAACTGCAACCCAGATTCCTGCTCTATCGAAATATATTATAATAAATCTTATCAGCTTTGTATTTTTTTAAATTATTTTTATACATGTTCCTTTGGTGTCCCTTTCCCAGAGCCCTCAGGGCTGAGGGGGAAAGGTGCACAGGGCAAAAATCTCCCTTTGCACCCTGCCTTGCTGGGAGGGCTCTCACATCAGGAGCCAGGCAATCCCAGCAGACAGGAATACAGGAGCATGTTCCTTTGCAGCCGTGTGGTGCTGGCAGCTCAGTGGGTCTGTGCAGCTCTGCAGTGACCACAGCCACTTGCTTGTTGCTCACTGGTATCTCCACCACCGTGCAAACCATTTACCCTGTTCCCTGAGCAATGTGTTCTGCTGTTGCTAAACTTCTCCCTGTCCAACTTGACACTGCACAGCAAAATGCTTTCTGCTGAGGTCTTCGGTTCCCTTCCAGAGCACTAAAGAAGTCACCGAGTGCCTTTTATAAATCCTGTGGGCATATGTCTTCAAACTTAAATGCCCCAACACGTAACCCTAGGGAACTTTTGGCTTATCCATCATCAGCATCCTTGTTTTTACGACTGAGTGGACCACATGCAATGTTTAAGCATCTGTAGGACATTTTGGGCCTGTTGCCTTTGGTAAATTGGTGTGTACCACAGAGGTGGCTGTGGGTATGGAACATCTCTCTGGGATGTGGGGCATGAGGCAGGAAAAATGCTCCAGCTGTGTCATGTTAACAGGAATAAAATGTGAGGGAACATGTCGTTCCTCTCGTTATTTATTTGTGTTTCGGCGACAGCCTGCATACCGATTTAAATATGGCTCTGCTGCCAGCACAGTGGAAGCGCACAAAAAGCGACGAGGCTCGCCTCGCTCCCAGCCTGCGCGCAGGAAACTGCCGGAGGATGGAAACGCTCCGAGAGGAGCAGGGCTATCTCCTGCTCTGAGGCAAAGCCGTGCCCTGCCAGGCCAGCCTGCCTTTCCAAAGCGTTGGGATGTGTCAGGCCTGGCTGGAAGCGGAGGCCCGCGGGCCAGGCCGGCCCTCTCGCTTCCTCACACACGGCACAAAGCCGCTCTCTGTAGCAAACTGTGCCGGGTGCTTCGCGGGGCCTGCTGTCAGAAGCTTGTTTAAATGTGAGCTATTGGAACATGAGGGAAAGTTCAGAGTAAAATGAAGCGTACTAAAAACATCAGTGTATTATTGTCTATTTTGGATCCAATACTGTTCTCCAAGAGCTCCCTGGGAATCAGAACGGACTGTTTGTAGAGCAAAACACTGCTCAATACCACTTTTTGCTGATATTGGCAGGATCAGGCTCTTTCTACTTACTTGTGAGCAAAGCAATTAAAAGCAATTCCAGAGCTGACTGCCAGTGTTCCTCTTGAGATTGGAGAAAAAAGGAGGGAGAAAAAAAGTGCAACAAGATTTTTCTGTCAAGGATGAACGTGGTTGTGTCTCTGTCATTGACCCACAGTGTATTGGCAGGTGATAAGAGAACTGGGCAAATCTCCAAGAAGTAGCTGTAGTTGGTAGTAAAAATGCAGTCTGGCTGCTGTGGCTGAAATAAACGGTCATTAGGACTGATTAAAGTCAGATTTAGGGTGATTCAGACAAGCTAAAAGGGGGAAACCACAGGCGGTTTCACATAGTTTATTATATACTTGTGGAGCTCTTTATATGATTCAGTCTAGTACAGTGAAAATGAGTATGTTTATAGATTGTAGTCGGCCTTGGGACAATGCAGGTGGTTTTTGATGGAAAAAAAAAGATAGAATAAGAATTTAAAGCATTGTGGGTTTTTTGGGGGTTTTTGTTGTTGTTGTAGTTGTTTTTGGGTTTTTTTATGGCTTTTGCACTGGTCAGTGATGCTGCAGATTGCTTTTAAAGATGCCTCTCTAACTTTGTCACAAGTGGGTGATCTTAGTTTGAGGATCAGTGTGGCCATCATGGGGATGTGGCTAACATGCTAAGAAACTTCTAAGACTTTGACCTGATCAAAGCAGTATGTTTTGATTCATCAGAACAACTGTATGAAAATATTTAAAACTGTAAAAGCTATCAAAAATCAAAACTTTTGAGGATTGCCTGGCTTCAGCAGAGCAAGGTATCTTGAAGCTCTGAAATAGTTACAACAAAAAATGCTTTGGAGTACAATCTATCTGTGTAAGTGTGAGCTCTTGTATTACCTCGCCTATGTTAAACTCTGGAGTAAACCCATTGTAAGTCATGCCAAGATCAGGCATACTGCACTGCATTTAGTTGCTTCAATCCTCACAAAATTAGTAGATGGAGGAAAGGATTCTTTTTCTGCTGATATCAGTAGAGACGCCTTGCATTTCTCTGATCTATTCCTTGCCATTACCTTGATAGACTTTATGTACTCTCTGTCAAGCTATGTGTATGTACACAAAAGTGTTAATTTATGGCTGCATTTATAGTATTAGGCAAGCATTTATTGGTTTTAAACACCATTAGTCTGGAAATTGACCAGAACTTTGACCTTTTTATGATGTGATTTACTGCTGTGAGCCTTCAAATTCCAAGGACTCCATTTAAGCAAGTTTCAGGTCTTGGCAGGACAAAAACTTGAGCTGGAGCTGTCTTTAAACCATTGGAATACTGCTTAATTGAGTAGCTGCACTGTGGTGTCCATTTTAAAGGTGTTGGGGAAGCCCAGCTCTCCTGAGGGCTGGACCTAATGTCATTGCTGGGACACATCTCACAAGGGAAGCATCCTTCAGGAGGGTTCTTCCAGTTCATGTGAGAGGAGTGCATTTCTTCACAACTCATACAAATAAGGGCTAAAGGGTAAGCTCCCTAAATCAACACTATGCAAGTAAGAGATTCCATGGATACTTGCCTTTACCATGCAAATGGGCAAGACAGCTGCCTTGCTTTGCTGGAGATAGAGTGAGTTTTGAAGAAAAGTGCAGTTTGCTTTGACTACCACTTGGTTGGTGTTGCAATGAGTTTCTGATCAGTTCTGACTGTAGTAGTTTGAAGAGGAGGTCCCATGTTGGCTTCCCAGGGCACGCAGAAGTGCCTGGCTGGTGTGGGACAGGAACCAGGGTGCAGGGCCATCACGTGTCCTGCTCTCCATTCCTTGTGACTGCCTTCTATTGGGATGCTCCTAAGGGAAGGCACATCGCTGCTGCTCCCTATGTGAGGGGGGACAGGGGCTGCCTTCCTGTCTTTCCCCTCACTGCATCCTCCCCTCCCTGCGGGCAGCATAGGCTCCATCCCCAGATTGCAGGTATCCAATGGCTCCTGCCAGTTGGAGGCCCTGCTGGAAGCTGCCCTCGTGGAGCCCATGTGACTGTGTCTTCCTTCAGATTCCAGCGGTGTTTCCACCTGCGTAGTGCTTGGTGATCCCACAGCCAAAGGAAAATGCTCTTTGCATCTGTGTCACACTGCCATGTTCCTGTTACCTGTTTCCGTGAGTCACTGGAGATGGTTATGGCTTTTTCTCATGTCAGAACTGGCAGGGAGCAGCAAGAAGGGACAGCCACAGGGCTCTGCTGTGTGGTGACACTATCCTTGCATGGCTGTTTCCATCCTTGCTTGCAGACTCAAACCAGGAAGGACCTTGCCATCGCACTTACTGCTGGCCCAACTCCGTTGATTAATGTGTCTGAGCTGCCCAGATGATTTACCAGGCTTGGTCACCTTGGAAAGGGCAATAAAGGGAGAACTTTATCTCCTACCACTGCTGCTCTTTTGAAGTCTGTGTATGTCAGCTGAGAGCCTAACCCCTGAGAGCTGTATTGGGAGCAATGCTGAGGAAAAGGGAAGCACGTTAGGCCTATTAAGATGCATATACGTGCTCAGAGAAGTTTAAATATTTTAAATATTAAATAAGGGTCCTCAAGGTGGGCTTCTCTCTTGTGTGAAGAAAAATACATGGTGTGATGTAGGGCTGTGCTTTTAGTGCAGTGATGATGTGCTGAAGGATGCTGCAGCTTCCTCCCAGCCCCAGCACGGAGCCTGTCAGACTCCCAAAGTGCCCTGGAGAAGGGCTGGGACATGCTCCTTCCTGTCACAGAGAATCAGGCAGATGCTTCATCTCCTGCTGCCACAGCAAGGACCATCCTTCTGTAAATCCCCGTGTGGCATGGGGCTTGGCACAGTGCAGCGTGAGGTGGCCGTTCTGTGGTGTGCAAAGAGGAGCTGTGGATAATCACATTTTATATCCAGTCATCAACATAGCATGTGTGCTGATACAAATGGTTACATACGGTGCTAACTACAGGGAATTGATTTTTTTTTTGCTTTTAATTTGTACACATATTTTTACTGTTGTAGGCTGTGAGGCAACTCAGCAGTTGCCATGTGAACATAAGAGAATATTCTGTTACATTCAATTATTGTTACACTACAGTTGATACAGAAACTGGGAAAAAAGGGACTTTTACCTAGCCAGCAGTTTGATTTATGCTCTGACTTCTCTTCAGAAGAAATGCATAATATTTTTGATGGAAAAATGACCACTCATAATGTGTAACTACATTTGGAATTTTTTTTCTTGTGCATGAATCTTCATTTCCTGAATTAAGAAAACTTTTTTGCTTTTGATTTAGCTGGGACATGATCAGCTCTGATTTTTCTTCTTGTTTGGGAATGTTTCTTATGATACTTTAAATGAGCTAGGGCTCAAAATAGAATGTATTTACTACATTTGTTTCCCACTATTTCAGACTCTGTGGTGAGAATGAGCACTCCTCGTGAATGTGCACTTCTTTTCCCAGTTGAAATATTGACAGTTTGGAGTAGCAGACACACTTGCCTTTGACTCAGTGGTGTTCATACAATGTGCTGCATGAAATATTAGCAGGCTGAATCAGCAGAGCAGGCAGAAAATGCCTGAACCAAAGTGACTTAAGAATAGACTGTGAGTCAGGGCAGGCAGCTCTGGTTTCCATAATAGATACAATTAGAAGAAATGTAGAATGTATTTAGTTTTTTGAATAGGACGTGGGGAGGAGAGACAGGAGGGAACCATTAATTTGTGCGTCTGGAGGCTAAATAGAAATGTTTATAAATGATCAGTTGAATTTGCTGATGCATTCATTAGAGAAAGCCCTGTTAGTGGCTGGGAAAGTGAGAGGAGCTGTGAACAGAGAACAAGAGGCAGCTCATAAAGGCAAGTGAGACTGAACGGCAGCCAAGGGAGAGGAGCAGTCGGTGGGGCAGCACGGAGGCGCTGGGCGAGGACCACGCTGACATGCTCCCACTACTTTCCCCCCCTCCCTTCTCTTCAGAGGCCCATCAAGCGACTCCTCTTTTGTCCTAATCTGAGCAAGCAAAAAAAGTTTGCTTAATTAAAAGCCTGTCTTTTCTTCCTTCTCTAAAGGAGCCAGAGAAAAATAGCATGCTCTTCTGAGGGAGAGGGAGGGCTGGGAACGCCTGGTCAGGTCTCACCCCGACAATCCTGCTCACTGTTGAGAAGTAGGACAGTGAGTCAGTTCATTCAAGTGGATGCTGTTTATTCAATGGGACATTCTTCCTGTAAAACTCCTAATAAAACCAAAGCCTTGCCTCCGCAGTGGGGAAGGGGAAGGGGTTTTGTGCACAGACTGTTTATTTACAGATGCTTTCTGGAGAAAAAGGTGAGAAGAAGAAAGGAGGGAAGGAAAAGGAAAGGAAAGTGCAGAGCTATAAACACGTTTGGGAGTAAGCCAGAGCTGGTACAGGCTAAACCGTCAGCTTTTCCATCATATATCCTGCTCCTAAACTGCTCTAATAAACCTTGCCTGTTAAAAACAACCAGTTTGCTGGAGCTTTCCAACCACTGCTTTGCTCTGATTTGCAGAGTACAGACGGGTGCCTGAAGCCTTTATTCCTGATGAGAACTACAGATGCTGGCCATCCTACCATCACAAGGGCTGCCTCCTCTCTGTGTTTGATGTCAACGAAGCCATTGAGATCTGTGACAGCTACTCCCAGTGCAAAGCTTTTGTTCTGACTAACCAGACAACTTGGACAGGTAGGTCCTGGATGCTGTGGAGCAGAACTGAGTCACCTATTCTGGCTGCTCTTAAGTGTTTTAATACAGCTTGGGGAGTGTGTTGTGCTGGGTGTGGGAGCCACCAGCAGTATCTAGAACTGAGGTAGTTTCTGAAGGTTCAACTGAAGCAGCTTCTTTTTGGTGAGGCTTCTCTTTGCCAGCTGTTAGGGGAGCAGAAATTACAGGCAGGATCCCAGGAGCTGGCACTGGGGGGCTAAGCACGTGGACTTCAGGTTACCAAACTACAGGATCTGAATTGTTGTTTTTTTGCATTTTTGTGCTTTTGGGAGGTGTGAACAGGCACTTCCATGGAACCAAGAAAAATCTGATTCCTGTTAACCTTGTCTATAGCTAACCAGGGACTACTAGGTCATCATGTCAAGCTATCTGTAGTTGGAATATTGAAGTTAATTGATATACTAAAAAAGTATTTATTCTGGCACAGAGAAATTCATAGGAAGTTTAGAGCAGCTTCTATCTCAGGTTACAAAATTAAAAGCAAATGGGACAGCAGTATTTGTAGTCTTATTTGTCATTCCCTTTGCCATACCATTCCTGAGGCATGAGCACCTGAGTCCCTGAAACCTGCAGCTCGGAAATTTGCTCGGCAGTTGAGGCATCCCGTTTGCCATGTAATACTTTAAAAGAAAATAGTGTTATGGGAGCCCCCTAGAGAGGCAGGCTGGGAGCAAATAGCATTTGATTTTCTCAAGTTTAGAGAGGGAAGGCAGAAGTACAGCAGACATGGAGTGTATCTCTGTGCTGCAAAGGAAGGCAGTGATTTTGCAGGTCTGTGGGGCAGCAGGAGCTTGTTGGGAGGCAGGAATGTGAATGTGGGGAGATAGGAGAGCTGTGCTGTGGCTCCCACGGACACCAAACAAAGAAACCTTGCCAAATTCAGCCCCCACTGGCCTTGGATATATATGCAGCAGGTGCCTTATGCTACCCAGGCTATTGTCACTTGCTGCTGCTTTGTCTGCGGACTAGAAACCTTGTTTAAATCCCAGAGCTACAAAGTGATCAGCAAGAGCTGTTTCACAGAAAGTCATGTTTAATACACATTTCACTGATCAGTTTTGTAAAGATCAAGCATGCAAATATGATTCTGCTTCTGTACAATCAAATGAATGTCCTTCATTTAAGCCCCAAACCCAAGCCTGTATTTATTAGTGGGAGTCTCAAAACATTTTTTAAAGACCACATGGAATTTGTATTAAAGTTTTCAGACCTTTCTTTCATTTACTGTGCTAGCTGTGAACAGCTGTATCTTGACCATAATTAGGTAAGAGTAAAGATATTGAAACCAGGGAAATTTTGGTGTCATTTTAGACAAAAACAGTTCAGGTTTATATCAGCTGAAGTTAAGAGTTGCGTGGCCTAAAGAATGCATAGATTGAAGTAGGATTTGAAATTTCAGCATTTTAAGGTAGGCAACCTTTTGCTCATCCCTTCTAAATATTTTTCCCTTCCCCCTCTTTCCTATTCAATGCAGGTCGGCAGCTTGTGTTCTTCAAGATGGCCTCAAATCATATTGTGCCTGATCCTGACAAGATAACATATGTGAAGGTGACAGACTGACACCTAAAGTGGCTCAGTCTGACACGTGAGTGATAAGAGCTGTTTGTGTATAAATATAGGCAGCTGTTAGGTAGAAGGCGGCTGTGGCCGGAGAATAATTGCACTATTACTCATTCTAATCTATAGAGTGCTAAAGGAAACTTTAAAGAAATAACCTGCATGACCAGGATGAATGTGCAATAAAACAAGATTTTGAAAATGTGATTTAAAAACAAAGCAAGACAACCCAAAGCAAAATACAAGAGATGATACACTGTTAAGAGTATAATTTTGGTTATAAATCAGCTGACAGCTCTGGCTTTTCTAAGCAAGGTTAGCATAACATTTCTGACCTATACATGTGCGTCCAGGGATGAAAGCTGATCATTTCTCTGGGAAGTGTGTATCCTCCACACTGGTATTTATTTGGGCACGTACAATCACAACAGAGGAACTGAAGCGTATCAGTTTGTCTGCTGAATAGCAAACGTTACTGAGGACAATCAGCATTTGTGTTCAGGCTATGAAATATGCAATGCCGACATATTTGTCAAACGGAAGGAATTGCTTATGTTTAGAATTGCAAGACTGCAACTAATTTTCATTTTTGCTTCCAATGTTATCATAAAGTTTCATTTTTAATTTGAAAGAGCCATTTTGTGGATCTAGCAAATCACATAAGCATATGAATAGTCCCACTGAAAGGGCAGAGACTTACCCAAGTGCCGAGTGCTTTGCTGGATAGGCCTGAGCATATGCTTACAATTAAGCCTGTGCTTAAGACTTTTGTTGAATCAGTTTGAATTGTTCAGGAAGCCACATCTTTGACAGACTGGCAAAGCAGTCCAGCTGGTTGAACAGTACTAATTTAATGACTAGCTTGCAGTTATTCGTACCTTTTATCATCAGGTCCTTGTTTTTCTAGGGCATCGCTTGCTGGTTCTTAGAGTAAATGAAGTAAATGACCTTAATGATGTCAAATGAATGCTAGCCTTAATTCTATATAAAATGCATCTTAAAGGCAGGGTGTGTCTAGAGAATTTGCTTTCAGTGAAAGCAATGAAGTAAATGCTAAAGTGACCAATGTCATACTGTTTTGTAGTTTGTACAGTCAGGAAAAAATGTGCTTTTGTTTCTCAAATGGTTTATTTTTGTAAAAAAAAAATAAAATAAAAGATAAATAAAATTTCTTTTATTCTTGGTTTTTGCGTGTTCCTGTTTCAAATAAATGCCTTATAAAATCCAGCATAATTTATATAAACTTAAACTTGGGATATTTTTTCCAGAAAGGACTGAGGTTGTTTCAGTGTCTCCCAGGGAAGGGTCTTTTGGTGCCTGGAGTACTTGGTGGTTTTGCCTACGTGGCTGCCTGTCACAAAATGAGTCACAGTTAGCAGACAGTGGTTGAGCAGTCTTTGCTGCTCTGTGCTTTGCCTTATGCTGGTATCAGCCTTTTACCACTTGGAAGGGGTAAAGGTGAGAGCAGGACTTGATGAAATTGCTCGTTGGGTCAAAAGGGAAGCCGGGCAACAGCCCCTGCAAGGGAGAGCAGGGAAGGAGAGCAGGAGTGCCAGGCAAGTTGGGCAGCAGTGTGGGGTGCAGGAGGACAGGTCTGGCAGTGGCACCACGGGCAGCAGGTCTTGCCTCTCCGCGGTTTCTCTGAGGTCACCGATGCCCTAATGGCTCTGGCAATTGGCTGAAGTGACGTCCTGTAATGGCTGTAACTCACAAATTATCAAACTCCCAGCCCTAATAGCTCAGCTGATTGTGTCGCCGTGCACTTAGGAACCCATCAATCATACTGTGGTAATAAACAAACACTATGGATTCTTTTAAAATTGCTGCATAAATCATGCCAACACATACTGCACAGTTCATTGAAGTGATATGGGTTGTTGGCACTGAGGTGCTGGTATGTAGTTTGAAAGTCTTTAACCTCCTGTGATTTCCTTCCCATTAAGCACTGCACAGTTCCAAAAATACTCAGCATTTAAAAACGTTGTTTAAATTTAAATCCTTTAGTTGCATTCCTATGTAAAAAACGCCCAACATTTAAAAGAAAAAAAAAAGGCATTCGGGGTAATACTTTAAAGCTGTAGTAGGTAACTTCAATAATTTAATTCCATCACTTTCTGCACACTGGAAAAAAATACCTCTTTAGTCAGGAATTGTTTATCCCTAGAATTAAACAAAGTTGCCAAACCAATTTATATCAGCTTTTGCAAACAGAGATCATGTAAGCAAGAAAGAAACATAGCTGTGAGCCAAGAAGCTGGATTTTAAATTTCAGTGGTAATCAACTTTATACTGGCATGTTTTATAACTCTGAAAGTAAGGCTTTCCAGTGGAAATGCTGATTAAAATCTTAGTAAGAGAGGTGTGATACTACAATAAGAGAATTTAACAGCCGTAGTAAACACTGACAAAATTCTGAATTTATGTGGAGAAAGTGATTTTTGCAGCACTGATTCAGCAGTGCCTGACTGGCACATGTGGCATGGGTACCCTTAAGAAGCCACAGAGGAGGAGGAAGCAAAGTCACAAAGCGAGTTGGCAGGTCTGGGCCAGTCAGCCTGGGACCTGCTTCATGTTTTCTGTGGAAAAGGCATTTCTATCTGTTTTTTCCCCTAACTTTTAGACTGCTTTTTACATTTCCTGGCTTCCTCAAGCCACAAGGTAGAAATATGAAAGAAGACACCCACAGGGCTTTAAATGACTGCTGTCTGTGTGTGCACATGCACGTGTGTGTATGTGTATACGTATTTATGTACGTGTCATGCTGAACAGGGAGACCTTATTTCCTCAGTGAAAAACCAATAGCCTGTGCACAAAATGAAGTGCTAAACAGGATGTTGAGTTCATCTGGAGAAGTGAGAGCTGTGTGAGGTTATGGGTGCTGCAGCTCTGCAAGGGGCTGTGCTGAGTGTTTGGCCCAGTCCAGCACCACGTTGTCCTGGCTGGTCTGAGGCTCAGAGCACCTCCAAGAGCTGCCCACTCTCTCCTAATGGTTTGGTGAGGAGGTGATTCTAGCCCCACTACTGGGAACAGGCTCCAGACAATAAAACACTGACTAGCATCACCTTCAGCCTGATGTCCTGAGGGTTGCAGGGGAGACATGCCAAGAGCTTTCATCTTTGCTTCGACCAAAATAAAAATTCTATTTTTCTCTGTCTGTGAGTCTACTGCTTTATCTCAGCTCATTTTTCTGAGCTTTCTCCCCAACGTCAGTGTGTCTTTTTAAGTAGAAAACTGAGGTCTCCTGTAATCAGCTTCAAACAGGTGGTCACAACTCACATCACATCTGGGAGAAATCTATGGTGGAATTAGTAATACTGCCATGAGTATTGATTGCCATGAGACAAAGCCTGAAAACAAGTGGGCCCTGTTTCCAGCTGAGAGGTTCAGGTAAGTTTGTATAAGGAGTGAAGTTGGTGGATGGGCAGTGAGATGCTGGTAGAATGCCAGAGAGGTACTTTCAACATAAGATAAAGGAGTTCAGTGTGGTACAATTATTTGTGATTTCCCCTGCCCCTCACTGCTTCACTGAGGCATTTTGCTTTGTCCTTCTGTCAGCCATGATCAAGTTTCCCAAAGGTTTGTGAGATTGGTGGGAATGGCAGAGTGGGGTGCAGGGAGGACATCAGCCTGGCATGAAGGCAGCTCTTCCTGTTACAGTTACTGAATGTGGTGTGGCAGCCACAGGGGACACTCACCAGGGGCAGGACCTGACCGTGGTAGGTGCACAGTGAAGACTTTGTCCCTGCCTCTGAAATTCACCTTATCAACTTGTACCAAGAGGATTTGTTATTCAAAGCATATGGAAGATGGCAGTGAATATCCAGAGATCATATTATGTTACCTGTCAGGAAATAATAATATGAACAGTGATGATGTGAACACTGATGTTCAGATTTAGTAGGAGAGCTTATGTTGTATTCTTTAGCACGAAATTCTGTGAAGGCTTAACTACAAAATACTATTGGGGGGCAGGGGGGGAAGAAGAAAAATAGAGTGATAAGACTGTTCACAAGTTTTTTTGATGAAAACATATCCCATTTCAAAATGTGAAATGGTGTTGAAAGAAGTCAAACAGATTTAGGTTGAAAAGACTCATCTGAAGTTTTCATCAATTGACTGCAGAAACAGTAATGGGACTCAAAGAAGAAGAGGAACATTGGTGGAAAGAATGCAGTATATAAAGAATTCACGGTCATACTCTGCTTAATGTTTTTTGAGATGTGATTGTTGAATCTTTTTTTTGGTCATGAAAATACATTTTTTTTCCTCTCTGTATGTTTTAAGCAGGAGTGAAATATGTTGGGCTGCCCTCCTCTAGAGCTCCCTGGGCATGCAGAGTCCCTGTGCCTCCTTCAGCACAGACATGGGCCTTGGCATTTGAACTCTAACAAGTAGGTTTCTTGCAAGTAAGTACAAGTGATGTTTTTTCTAATTGGAATGGATGCTTTTAAGAGGTGCATTTTAAAAAAGTGGAGGAAACCAGACATTGTGTTGCTTCTCTTTGTGCTTGTGTACAAAAGCATTGCCTTTGTGTAATAGGTGCCCCACTTCTCTGCAAACTGATGGGAAATATAATTCAGTAGGAGCCACCCTCATTATGAAACTGTCTTTGATGTCAAGCCAGAGGACAAACAACACATTTATTGGAAATTGTGGCTTTTAAACAAAAAATCCCTGCTAACCACAGTTTTTCAACAAATGACTGGGAGGCTGAGAAGGGAGACGAAACTATCCAGTGGCTACTTGAAATTATAAAGTCAGAATCTGATCTTACTGAGCTTAATTTTACCAGCATAGATTCAGTTAATCCTTGATTTATGTTCATGTAAAACAGTGTCAGACTGCTAGATTTTCAAGTATCTGTGAAGAAGGAACACAGTGAAACCTACCTCTTGGACCTAAATGTTTGAACCATGTAAGTGAGGAAAAATACACTGATTTTCCCATATGTACATGACCTTGTGAGCATGTGTAGGTTCCTGTGAAATTTAAACAATGACAATATGAAAACTTATCTTTCTTTTAGATGGAAGCTTTAACAAGATATAGAAAATGAAAGATGTATTATATTATTTAATAAATAATTATTTATTAAATAATATATTATTTAATATTATTTAATAAATATATTTAATAAGTATATTATTTAATAAATAATGCCAGGAAGGGAATATGAATTCTACACATTTATACTCAGTGTTTAACAGGCATAATGCCATTCCTATTTATCATCCTTCTGCCAACTTTAAGTATGCCCTAAGAACAAGTTCCAGTTTTCAATACTACAAGTACTTGGCATGTATGAAGATAATGGTACAAATTGGTATTTATGAATTACAGCTTTCCATAAATAGAGTAGAAGGAATGCAGAGCAGCCAGTCAGACAAATAGATGACCAGGGGCACAGTGGCACTTTTAGAAGTGGGTGTATTTAATGTTTTAATACAAGACCTTGGGTTTGTGCAAGTTCATGACCTATGAAAAACCCCATATGACTTACTGGCAGGTACTGCCTCATTCTTGGGCACAAGCTGTTGATCATCATGTGTGCTACTTTTTCTGTACATTTTACCATCCTGTCCTTTAACCCCCACGAGATACAAACCCAAAGCCTGTTTAAAGAATGGGAACACTTCAATTAAATGTCAGGTTTTGATTTGTACATGGCTCCGATTTGTGAGCCATTATAGAACTTTGATCAATGACAGCTCATAAGGAGAAAGAATATTACAGAGGAAAAAAATAATGCACATTCATGCAGTGAATTTGTGAAGAGACTCTGCACTGTCTACCTGGAGAACTGAAACGTTTGAAGATTTGGATTGGGGGTCAAAGTGGCAGTTGTGAAAAGAAATCACCATTTTGCTGCCTTACATTGCAACACATATTCCATGGCCTACAATTATTATGATATACAGTCCATTTCTTAGAGACTGAGCTCCAGAAATTGTGTATTCATAGGTGAACAAACTCCTCTTTGCCTCTTTTTGCCAGATACTAAAGGGAGAAGTAAAAGAGAGCTCTGTGAATATAGTAATACTTTTGCAATTCAGAAACCAGGGTACCTGTGGTGCAGTTGACTCTGCATGGCTTCTGTGCAATAACAATCAATGGACAAGAATCGGTGGCTGAAGTTAGCAGTAATTCCAAAGTGGATGTTGAAGCTAACAAAAAAAATCACT